TGTAGTGAGAGAGCCGAGAGATGGATTTAGCTCAGGGGTGCTCTCTTACATTTTATAATATCTGGACTAGTTCAAGTACATGATATTATACTTAATTTAAACGGATTCTTTCATTTTTCTGGACTAAGTGATATTGTGCTTAGAAGTACTGTGTCGGAGATGGTCTAATCAGTGACATGAGACGTTAATTTTCTTTGACCCATCAAAATGAATGTGGTCATTTATTAACAGAATCAAAATTTAACATCAAACATTGTACACTTGATTATTCTGATTGAATGCAATAACACAGCTTAATTAATGAGCTTTACAATGAGAAATCATACGGCCATGATTTCTCACTTGCAGCTAAAAACAACAGACATATCTGAAGATATCTGGATTAATTATTGGCAAGATAGAAGAGTTTTAAAGATGGGGAATGAAGGAGTTTAAATGGAGAGAAAAGATGTGGATGAGGATGTATGTCTGTAGACCAGAACAACACGCTCCTTTCAAGCGCAGTTCGCCCGCGGTACACTGGTAGTGAAGCTCATGACGACTCTTTTACCTTGGCAGAGGATGAATCAGCTGCGGTCAAGAGGTCCCTGGTACGCTACCTTTCAGCGTCTCCTCAGGGCGGCTGCGACTCGGCAGAAGTCGTGAGAACTCGTTCCACAGAACAAACTTCCTCAGAAGTTATAGGGCATTCACCGGGTGGAGCCACAGCGAGGCATCGTGGCTCCTACAGGAACTCCAGCTGAACTCCATCAGTACCAGAAGAACTAACGGGACTCTGAGAAGACTCAGAGGAACTCAGAACTTCTGTTCTCTCTCGGAACTTCGGTTCATGTCTCCCAGAACTCCTGTTCTCCTGTGCTCCCCGAACCGACTGGAACTAGGAAGTGTCGACCTTTAAAGAATTCTGTTTCCGGTCCCTTTAGGGAAGTCCTGATTGGTTGAAAGAACCAACAGGGGTGTGGTTTTAGTGACGTAAGAGGGTTACTACAAGTCAGAAAAACAGTGAGATGTTTAGGAACAGACAGAGAAATGTTTAGGAGCAGACAGAGAAATGTTTTGGCGAAGTGGGGGGACGCAGGTGCCAGCTTTCTTGTTTCTGTCTGAGAGGTTTAAAAACATGACAGTTCGTTCCAATAACTTCTTTCTGACTTTCAACCGACATCACTACTTCTCATTTCAGACAGAAGATCAAAATGCATAATTACTCTGTAACAGACATTAACTTGATTTCTACTTTGAATGAGGATTAAAAAATCATTAATACTGTTTCACAGTTGATTTAAAATGAGTAGTTCACTTCAACATTTAAAATGGTTTGAACTAAGCACACTTTTGATTATCAAGACATTTGTAAAAATAGTAATGACAATATAAAAAGAGAGTGTTCTTTCAACTGATTAGTTCAGGATACAAATAGAAAGTCTCTGGATGAGCTAATTTGTATTTCTGGATTCAAATCAATGAAATAACAGTTTCTGTCCCATGAAGGTCTTCAGAGGCAGGTTTTGACCGGAGGCTTAGTTCACTACAGATGGGTGGATGGATGGTTGGATGGATGAAGGGGCCATAGGGATCCATCACTGCCTGATGCTCTCAACAGATTCTATGCATGCTTTGAGGACCCGAACACACCACCCAGCACCAGACTCAGGTTATCACAAGAAGAAGAGTTCCTCAGCGTGACCTCAGCAGAAGTAACGAGTACTTTCAGGAGGATCAATCCTCACAAGGTAACTGGCCCGGACAACATCCCAGGGAAAGTGATGAAAGACTGTGCCGATCAGCTCTGCGAGGTGCTGGCTGACATATTTCACTCTTCCCTCACTCTGGAAACAGTTCCCACCTGTCTGAAGACTGCCACCATTATCCCAGTCCCACCCAAAGAGCTCTACAGTGACTGGACTGAATGACTATCGGCCGGTAGTCCTCACCCCAATAGTAGCTAAATGCTTCAAAAAAATGGTCATGACCCACATCAAAACAACTATCAAGATCAAAGAGGACCCTCACCAGTATGCATACCGTGAGAACCAATCAACAGAAGATGTCATCTCCTCTGTGGTCCACACTGCTCTCACCCACTTGGAGCAGAAGGACTCCTACATCTGTATGCTCTTTGTGGACTTCACATCTGCCTTCAATTTTTTCATTTTTTTTCATTTACCCTTTATTTATACAGGTAGTCTCATTGAGTCATGAAAACTCATTTTCAAGAGAAAATGTTTAGGGAGCACATGGTGGGGGTTAAGGACCTTGCTCAGGGGCCCAGAGTGGGGCAAATGAGGGTGGAGGCTGGTGTGGGTGTTTCACCTTTTCCACCCACATTTTGATGTTGACGGTACCGAGAGTTGAACCTGCGACTTTCCGATCACAGGCCCATCTTCTAACCTCTGCACCACCACTCCCCCATCTCGCCACATCTGCCTTCAATACCATGATCCCCCAAACCTTGATGGACAAACTAATCACACTAAGACAAAGTTCCTCACTTATGCAACACTATGCAACTGGGTGCTAGACTTCTTAACCAACAGACCACAATCTGGGCAGATACACTGACTTCTCCTCCTCAACCATAACCCCCAGCACGGGCTCCCCCAGGGCTGTGTGTTGAGCACCTTCCTGGTCACTCTGCTAACGTATGACTGTGTACCGACCCATCCAGGCTGTCATACTGATAAAGTTTGCAGATGATACAGCTGCTACAAGGTGGATGGACAGAGGGTATTTCTAATTACTTTCTTCAGTCAAGTTAGTAATATTGTGTTCTTTTAAATCTTTGCATAATTGTTCTTTTCTCTCTATAAATAGATTTATTTTTCTATAGGTTTGATGCCGTTTTTACTTTTATCAATAATAAACATTTATGTCATTTTTGTACAATAAACGTCCTCAGAAGTTTGTTTTATATGAAAATAAAGAAAAAGTTATTTGTCCTTTGGTAAAATGAAATTGCTTCAAATTTGACTCTAGTGTCTTTACATTTGATAATAATAATAAATCTAAAGTATTCTTGCTGTCCTTACTCTGTCATTAAGATGGAAGTGATGAAACTGATGGTCAGATGCTGCTAAAGCAGAATACGTGGAAATATTTCTAAACAGTGTTTCTGTGATTGGTGGACGCCAACAGCTCCGAGTTTGTCTCTGTGGCATCATCAGTCTAAATAATAATCAGTTTTTGACATTTTAACATTGAGTCAGAAGTATTCAAGTCCACACTGCAATGCATCAAAAACACGATTATATTCCCCATCCCTCCTGTGTGTATGCAAATATTACTTACGGTGTCCTCTTCGTTTCTTCTGGAGGCCAGCGCCTCGTTCTTGGTCTCAAACTCAGCCTGGATGTTGTCTCTGCGTCTCAGCACCGCCTGCAGACACCAGGTCACACTTTAACAGAACTTTGATTAAGCATGAGTCACAATCACTGAGCATTTATCCTTTGTTCAAAACAAAAACAAAAACACTGCTTTTATTTAACTGCTGAACGGTTAGCATCAAAGTTTATGATCAATAATTCAGGAAAAAAAATCCAACAAAGTTAAGTCAGGTCCACTGGACGGTTTCTTTGTGCTGAAACGTTACATCTTTCATCGAAAAGACTTCATCAGTCCGCGGAGCCACAACAAACTCAGTCCCATAAGTAGCACATTCACATAGTGGGTGAACCAGTTTGATGGTGATAAGATGGTTTCTGGAGTCCACCCTCTCCCTCAAACAGAAACCATATTATATATATATATATATATATATATATATATATATATATATATATATTTTGTTTTTTTTCTTCCATGGCTCTGATCGAGGTGGCTGCTTCTGTCTTTCCTCCCCCATTTTTCCTTCCTCCTGCTCTGCTCTCCGTGTGTCTGAAGCGCTTAGTTCACATCTCCCGAACGTAAATTAAGAAGATTATGGATCTGGTATCCTGGGCATTCAACTCTATTGATAAGCTTTTTTCATCAAAGCGACAAGATCTTGGAGAACCCGCGTGTCCAGCTGAGACTCACGCTGTAAGGTACGTCATGTGGGGAGTGTGGCAGCTGATGTGCCTCTCAGTCCTGTCTCAGGAGGATGATGAAGACATGTGTAGATTAGGATTTATGATAGCAGGGACTCTGGTTTTTGACATCGGTGTGGCTCTGTTTTATCGACTTTTGAAGAAGACATCGGCAGCAGTTTCGGCCATGGCAAAGCCTCCGAGTCAGTGTGAAGGTTTGGTCTGTGCTGTAGGAACTCTGAATCATCTGGTTTACGAGCTAAACCGTAAGGTGGAGGCGATTTATGAGCATCGCAGGCCACCTGCGGCTTCTGGGACTCGTCAGCGTGGTGGGGTCGACCTTGAAGGTGACTCATAGCATAGATCAGTGGAATGGATTCCCACAATTAGGTCATTTTGGAACCAGAACACCCAGATGGACTCATGGCTGAAGAAAAAGTAATCTGTCTGCCTGAAGAAAAACAACAATCAAAGCTTATCTGAATCTGACTCCTGACGGCCTCAGAATGGGCCGACTATCAAATTTCTCCTGGGTCATGGGTAACCAAGGACAAAAGCTTCTTTTATGCGCCCCCCCCCCCCCCCCCGGAGAACTTTCTGTGCAAACTTATCAGAACTGCTGGCTGAAACAACATCTTCAGAAACTGTGGCTGATCTGAAAAACGCTCATGGACAAATCTCAACACCTCAACATCAAATGCAAATGTAATCATGTTTTAATTGTGCTGCTGGTAGAGGTTTTTTTTTTATGTCTAATCGTGTCCTGATAGACAAGATGTGAAAGATCTTTTTTTGTAATACCAATATCTACCCTCATGTTTCTCCCATTTTTCTATCTAAGATTATTATTCTGATAAGGATAAGAGAGGCTGCGCTTAGCGCAGTAGCAGCTTTGTGCACTCCGTCCATCTTCCGGACGACCGCATGTACATGTTCTCGTTGTATCTCGGTGCAGTGATAATAAAGCTTATTCTGATTCTGATATATACCAGAGCTAATAAGGTGGCTTGTTTTATGCTGACTCGCTACTTTGCGGTTTTTCAAAGTAAGATTGGACATGACACACAATTGGCTGATTGATGTATGAGCCGCACGATAGGATTGTTTATTTAAACTAAATTATTTTAAATTATTTAGCACCTGCTGCACATTTGTGCAGCTCACACTGCAAGAGAAACTTCCTCCTGTACCAAGTCATATCTCCACTTTGCAGCGGAGAAGTGGGCGTGGCCGAGAGTGCTGGCAGAAAACAGCCAGGCAGAGAGAGGTAAATCATGACATTCTGTGCTCTTTTAGAGCGTTTAAAGCCGGGCTATTCAACAAAACTGCTCAGTGGGCCACAGTTTCTGAAAGCCAGCAGCTCAGGGGCTGGACATCCAGTGATGAAAGTCATTACGTAAATAAACCAAGTATTGCAATGATCTGTTACCTTTTAAATGTGTTTGTTTTATTGCATTGAATCATACATGCAATATATAAAACTCAAACCCAGAACTTTTATTTTTATTTTAAATGAAGTCATTGGTGGGCAGGATAGAAGTCATCCACGGGTTGCCAGTTGAATAGCCCTGGTTTAGAGTTTAGAAATACTGTTTAGAATATTGCAAGAGTGTGGGAAGGGTTTAAAACGACTTTATATGTGCCTGGACAAAAAAACGTCGTCACCAAAAATAAAAGGTCACACACTAATATATTGTTGGACCGCTTTTAGCTTTGATTACTGCATGCATTCGCCGTGGCATTGTTTCGATAAGCTTCTGTAATGTCACAAGATCCATTTTCATCCTGTGTTGCATTAGTTTTTCACCAAGATCTTGCATTGATGACTAGGTACTAGGCATGATGGGTGCATCACTTCACCTGCCTCTCTTCTTACACTGATGCACCCATCACTCTGGAACAGGGTAAATCTGGACTCATCAGACCACATGACCTTCTTCCATTGCTCCAGAGTCCAATCTTTATGCTCCCTAGCAAACTCAGTGTTTCCCCTACCATTATACAAGCGGGGTACCCCACCCCATCAACAGAAGTGAGCACCCCGCCTACCAAACCGAACTTGCCCCCACACACCCCCACTCGGCACTGACATAGCACTAAGTTAGTGGCGCGAATTACAGGCTCTCTAGCTAAAAAGCCAAAGGTGCCTCTTCCTTCATGCTGAACGCCCCCTATCCCCACTCAAAAACGGTTGGTACAAGCTGCGCTCAGACATGTCTCTGTCCCTCCCCATCAACAAAAATCATGGATGAGATGAGCACCTCACCATGGCAAATTAACTAGGGGAAACACTGAAACTGAAGCCTTTTTTTCCAGTTACCTCACTGATTAGTGGTTTTCTTAAGGCTACACAGCTGTTCAGTCCCAATCCCTTGAGCTCCCTTCACATTGTGTGTGGAAATGCTCTGACTTTCTCTATTAAACATAGCCCCGAGTGCTATTGTTGTTTTTCTTCGATTTGATTTCACCAAACGTTTAAGTGATCACCGATCACGATCATTCAGGATTTTTTTCCGGCCACATTTCTTCCTCGAAGACAATGAGTCCCCACTATTTTCCAGTTTTTAATAATGTGTTGGACAGTTCTTTACCCAATTTTAGTAGTTTCTGCAATCTCCTTAGAAGTTTGCTTTGCTTGATGCATGCCAATGATTTGACCCTTCTCAAACAGACTGACATCTTTTCCACGACCACACAATGTGTCTTTGGACATGGTTGTTTAAGAAATGGGAAGCAAATCATTGCACCAGTTGGGGTTAAATAACTTGTTGCCAGCTGAAAGACAATCACCCATGCAGTAATTATCCAATAGGAGGCTCGTACCTATTTGCTTAGTTAAATCCAGGTGGCAACATTTTTTTGGGCCAGACAGTGCATGTTCATGGATGTGATTTAATGAAAATGAGTTGAATGCGAATGAACATTATTCCTCTTTATTCAGAAAATCCACATGTCACATCTACATCTCAGGATATTTCTATATTTATCACCACAGAAATAGTGTTAAACACATTAGTAGTTGTAAACACTCAAAACAACACGTTGGTTTAGTGCTTACCTATAACCTAACCATTTAAGGAGTAAATATTTTTAATAATCATGTTAAAATTTATAAATGTTGTCTTTGGTGTCAGTTTTTCAAATATATTAGTGTGTAAATGACAGGGATAAAACACTTTAAAACACATTGTAAAACGGTGCTTTGTGAAGTTCAGTCCATTTCCTTGTTTTAGTTGACCAGCAGATCTCCTACATTCAAAATGGTGGACGCTCTGACGTACCGCTGCAGCAGCCAGCCCGCTCAACGAGGCGTCTAAGTATTTATGTCTATGCTGTGGACAGCCTCCAATGCGAGTCACTGTGTTTATGAAGTAGTTCGCGATCACTTTTGGGTCACTGTTTGTGAAATAAGCCTCCATCCACATTATGTCGGGACTAAACCTGTCAATGCAGTCAACAATGCCATACAGCTTCACTTTATCATGCATCATTTTACCGCAGTTGTAAGACTGCTTTTCGTTGGAAATGGTAATTTTTTTTCTTAGCATGGCGATGTAATTTTTTTTTGTGTGTGTGTGTGCCCTTAAAGCTCCGTCGTAGATATCAGTCTGTAGTTACCAGTCTGTAGTTACCGGTAGTTACAACTGCTGGATCCCCCCACCCCCACCCCCACCCACCACCACCACACACCTTTTTATAACAAAAGGAAAAAGGCTGATTCCCATATGAAGGGAATTTCATTATTTTCCAAAATGAGGTTAAAAAGTTTAGCAAGAGGATCTGCTACAAAATCAGCTGCTAATTTTAGGAAGTAGGTTTCAATAAAAAACAAAGTCCTGATGATTTTCTGTGGTCTATAGCTTTAAATAGCTTTAAGGACATCTTGAACTCCAGGAGCAGAGACTGGAGCCTAATTGAAAAGTTGACCATTGAACTGGACGATCAGTGCAAGGGTTCACACAGACAGGCCCCACAGTGTTGAACAAAGAGCCAGAGAATATAAAGTGCTTGTTAAAAGAACGAAGCATCTCTATTTTTATCATGGACAGTTTAAAACAAAGAGAGAGACCATGAGAGCGTTTTCTCACTGAAAGAAAATTAATGGCTTTCCAACATTTCTGTGGATTATTAAGGTTTTCAGTGGTGAAAAGTAAATAATACTCTGATTTGGCATTTTTTGTTATTAAAGAAGATCATTGGTTTACGTAACTGCCTACACAGAGAGCAGTCAGTATAAGAATCTGTTGTCCTGGTCTTAGACCAAGCCTGGTTACGCTCCTGAACACCATCAGCCAGCTGTGGAAGATGGTTCAGGACAACCCGTTCATTCATTCAACCTTTATTTAGACAGATAAATCACATTGAGCCTTGAAGACTAATTTATAAGAGAGATCTGTTTAGACAGACAGAAAGTAGTGCAACTGGACACGTAGGCATTGGAGGCCACAAAAATTCCTATCAAACTCTATCTTCTTGGCTGAAGAAAAAAACTCTAATATTGAAAAAACACCTTGTACAAACAACACATGGTGACGAAGACATTCTGCACAGGTGTGGGGAGAGACGACGAGAGCGGTAAACAATGTCCAAGGACGTTCTCGAGGGCACTCTAAGAGTGCTGATAAGAATGGAATAATCAGCCAGTTCCCTCCGGTGAGGTCCTTAACATTCTTGAGGGATGTCGGGGAATGGCCAAGGACAACGCCTATGAGAATCCAAGAGTCCTGAAATAATGACACAATGTTTATTCAGCTGGTTTTCTCTGGTTGATCAGTTGGAAATTCCTCGATGGGAGGGGGGCAGAGCATCAGATTACATGTTCTCCAGGCAAATTCAGATAAGGTGGCCTTCAAGACCAGCCAGGGGAGCCAAATTCAGATAAACACACAGTTGTTTTGGGAACAGGCAGAACTTAATGACGTCTACCTTGAGTCTGTGTTGGTCCACTCGGTTCCGAAATGTCAAAATTACATGGCAACACCAAAAGAACATGCCTGAGTAAAATCCCCGAGATCTGATCTATTCTGCCCAAAGCATTCGAGTCTGGGTGCTCGAGGCACAAACCAAGCCATCATAAAGGCAGGCAGCCTGATCGGGTCCAAATTTGGTGCCGATGACTTCCTTTATTATAGATAAACCAGCGACCAGCCTAATCCAAAAAGCAGGAACAAGTTATCATAAATCCAATACACGTCATCAAGTCTTCCAAGTCAATGAGATATCCAGCTGCATGTGTCTCAACAGGGCAAATCGGCTCGCCTAAAGCCTGTCTTAGAAGAAATGTTATCAATTGTGTTGAGGGACCAACTGATCAAATTAAGTCCGTAATTATGATTCGGAAGATTTGTAGAAGAGAGGCTCAAAAGCAGTTTCACAGACAGACAGAGCAGCAAAGCAAAGTGGAGAGGGAGAGGAGGGAAAAAAAAAACTGTGGTTTAATCAAACTCAAGGTTGGGAAGCAACAGAACGATTACCAAGGGGATGAATACTTTGCAACTGAACGTAGATAGCTTTACTGTGTCCTTGAACGCCTCACACAGACAGTTTGAGATGTAACAGTTTAGAATATGGCACCTTAATGATTAAGGTGTTTTGAAATCCAACAATTTTCAGTCAGGTCATCTGGACAGTTTCTTTTTGTTGCTGAAACGTTTCACCTTCTATCCGGAAGGCTGTTTTTCGTTTTGAACCAGTTTGACATGACTGTCGACGAGGAAGAGGGCTGGCAACACAGGAGGGGTCATGCCAAAGACACCATCTTAGCACCAACATAACTGGTTTGTTCCACTTTGGAGTAAGCTGTTTGGGGGAAGAATCAGTTTTGTGTTGTGTTTCCTTGACTGATGAAACCTTCCAGATAGACGGTGAAACATTTCAGCAAAAAAAAAGAAACTGTCCAGATGACCTGACTGAAAATTGTTGGATTGTATATCTGGATTATTGGGCATGGACTTATGTTGAAATCATAAAAAATGGTCAAAGTTTATTCAAAGGTCAAAAACAAGAAAACATTCAAATTTATTTTCTTTGTGAAAACAGAAAACAGATTTTGAGGATCTGGAACTGTCAACAAGAATAAAAACAAAGAAAAAAAAGCTACATGTGAACAGACAGATCAGTATTTGTTGATGCATTGACAGGACCATAAACCCAGCAGACACTAAACCACACTGGATTGTCTTTTTCTAATCTCCACCTTCTACTGTTTATCTGTGGTGGAGTCATGGAGGCAACAGATCCAGGAGAGAAACCCAGACCTAGCTCTCCTCAGAAACATGCTCCATCTCCATCTGGAGAACCACAATCCCTCCAAAGAGTTCTCGGTCTGCCCTGGGGGCTCCTACCAGCAGGATGTGCCTAAAACTCCTCCAAATGGAGGCGTCCAGGAGGCATCCTGATCAGATGAACCTCTTCAACTGACTCCTTTTGATGCAAAGGAGCAGCAGCTGTACTTCAAGCTCCTCCTGTATAATGGAGCTCCTCATCCTGTCTCTAAGGTTGAGCTGAAGGAAGCTCATTTCAGCTGCTTGGATCCAGGATCTGGTTCATTCAGCCATGATCCAAACCTCATGATTGCAGGCTTGGAATATAGATAGACCAGTAAATCCAGAGCTTTGCCTTTCGACTCCTCTTTCTTCACCAGGACTGACCAAAGCAACGCAATCATTACTGAGGTTGAAGCTCTGATTTGTGGATCCATCTTCCAGTTCCATCTGATCATGATTCAGGAACAAGACGCCCAGATACTTGAACTCCTTCACCTGAGGAAAAGATATCCCACCCTGCGACCCAGAGGGGGCATTCCACCCATTTATGGTGCAGAACCATGGCCTCAGACTTGGAGAACTGACTCTCATTCCGCTTCACGCTCGACTGCAAACCGCTTCAGTGCACACTGAAGGTCTTGGCCTAAAAACGTCAGAAGAACCATCATCTGCATAAAACAGAGATGAGACCCTGAGGTTCTCCATCCAGACCCCATTCTCTCCACAACTGGGCCTAGGTAGCCTGTCCATGACCACCACAAACAAGATCGGAGATAAGGGACAGCCCTGGAGGAGTCCAACCTATTTTGGGTTTACCTCGATCTATTTTCAGTCAGTGAAGGAAAACATGTTATATTGAACTGGAAGCAGAACTGAACCAGACTGGTCTCACCTTCAGGGTGTCAGCACAGAGGACGTACTGGTGCAGGGCAGGGACCAGGACTTCAGACAGGTGCTGGATCTGTTCCTCACTTTCCTTACTGCAACGCTCCACACAGCTGCCAACACCTTTCAGAGGTTCTGCCAGCTCTTCTTCTGACTCCGCCCACTGGAAGTACGCAGGACTGTACTGCTTCAGTTCATCCACGTACTCTGGAACAAGAGAAGATGAACTGAAACACCGGATCAAGACGTGCACGAGGAGGACTGGTCACAAGCTTCCAAACATCCAGCTCATGTTGAGCTGGAGCTAAACTTCTGTGGTTGGTTCTGACACTTGCTGCTGATTCTGAACCAAGAACTAAATATTTATGTTTGTTACATTTAAAGGAGCGAGACAGAAGTGAAACCTTTAAAGTGATTTCTAAATCACTGAGAAAAAATCAGTGCACTGATGTCCCCCCGTCGCTGAGGGGTTTGAATAGGAAATGTTTATATTTTTGAAGATGACTGTTTTTCTGGACTGGAACTGAACAGACAATTCAGGTAAACCTAAATGCTTTGGTGAAAGATGTTTAAGTGGGTAGAAGTTACACTTTACAAGAACAGAGGTAGTATTTTTATTTTTTTGTCTGAGGCAGCGCAGAGTGACGGATCCTGGAGGGAGACATTTTATCCACCACCAGGTGCAGTGGAGGAGTCAGGGGGTGGCCAATGGTGGCCTTGATCAGCATAGATTAAATCTTCGGCCACCCCAATAATTAAAAACTAGAAATCGGTCTCCTCAAATGATAGGGTTTACATTTATATATGGGGGTAGCCATCTTGGATTTTGACGTGGCAACCCAGTTTTCTATAATGACCATCTTTAGATCCAGTCTACATGTGTTTTGTGGACTTGGAGAAGGCTTTCGACCATGTCCTCGAGGTACACTGTGGGGGTGCTCTGCGAGTATGGGATTGAGGGTCCGTTGTTACGGGCTGTTCTGTCCCTAAACAATCGGTGCAAGAGTTTGGTTCACATTGCCGGTAATAAGTTGGACCCCTTCAGGGTGGAAGTTGGACTCTGCCAGGGCCGCCTTTTGTCACTGATTCTGTTCATAACTTTTATGGACAGAATTTCTCGGTGCAGCCAGTGGGCGGAGGGAGTCCAGTTCTGTGGCCTCAGGATTCCATCTCTGCTCTTTGCAGATGATGTGGTCCTGTTGGCGTCATCGTGCCGTGATCTTCAGCTCTCACTGGAGCAGTTCGCAGCCAAGTGTGAAGCAGCTGGGATGAGAACCAGCACCTCCAAATCTGAGACCATGGTCCTCAGTCAGAAGGGTGGATTGTTCTCTTCAGGTTGAGGGTGAGGTTCTGCCTCAAGTGGAGGAGTTCAAGTATCTCAGGGTTTTGTTCATGAGTGAGGGAAGAATGGAGCGTGAGATTGACAGACAGATTGGTGCAGCATCTGCAGTCTTGTGGACTCTGTGCCGGTCCGCTGTGGTGAAGAGGGAGCTGAGCTGTAAGTCAAAGCTCTCTGTTTAGTGGTCAGTCTACATTCCTACCCTCACCTGTGGTCATGAATTCTGGGTAGTGACTGAAAGAATTAAATTGTGGATACAAGCGGTTGAAATGAGTTTCCTCTGCAGGTTAGCTGGACTCCCCCTTGGAGACTGGGTGAGAAGTTCACTTATCAGGAGAGACTCAGAGTAGAAATGTTGCTCCTCCACATTGCGAGGAGAAAGTTGAGGTGGTTCGGGCATGTCCGACTGGGAGGAGACTAGGGCTGCAACAACGAATCGATAAAAATCAATGATTAAAAGTGTTGGCCACAAATTTCATTATTGATTCGTTGTCGCGCGATTAAGCGTCTTTCACGGCGCTGCAGAGCCGTTTTGTTCACCTGCAGTGAATTGTCAATGCTGACTGACTGAATAAAGTTTGAAAAAAAAAAAACAACAACTCTGCAGCGCGAGTTGAACAGAGCGAGCAGGGGCGGCGGAAGCAGAGCAGAGGCTGTTTTCAAAGGAAATTAAGTAAATTTTACAAATGACCGACGCAGAGAAAACTGTTCGACCCAAGTCCTCAACAGTGTGGGAGCACCTCACAAAGATAAAAACTGCGCAACATGCAGCTTTGAAAAAGTGACGACACGACACGGGAGAACCACGGAGATGAAACGTAAACATGTCGGAGTCAAAGGAGCTGAACAGCAGACACAACATGTCTCACTCCCAACTTGTCGTGTTGGCAGGTGAGTCTCTACAATATTCACATTTGATCTGTTTCCAAGTGAGAAAACGTAACATGAGTCTCTCTGTAGCTGAAGCTGCTGCTTGTTTGTTTGTTAATTAATGACGGTGAAAGAGAATGTGTGTTATGTTTTATTTAATTTAATTGGTATAAGGAGTGTTTAAATGTGTTTTATAAATAAATCTAACACAAATATGGTAATAATTTAATGATTAAGCTTCAACTTTTAATTTGCTGGCAAAGTCTGAAGACACTGCCTGTATGGCAGGATGAATTGCATTTAAACAAGAATTAAAGTAATTTATTACATCTACTCAAATGAGTGTAATTAAGTATTTTATGTGTGTGTGTGTAATTACTCTTTGAGCTACTTTTGCCTTAACCTAACCCTGTAAGTGAAACAAGGCATTTCTTGAGTTGCTGTAAATTATACTATAACACACACACACACATGTGTGTGTACCAAAATTAAAACATGTCCGCTCTTAAAAACGCTTGTTGTAGCTTTCATTCTGCTTGTGTTTTGCTCATTTTAGCTCATGTTCTGCTTGTTTTAGCTTGTGTTCTGCTCATTTTAGCTTTTAACACATCAGTTTCAGCTTCATCAGTCATTCGAGCCTCAGAGCTCACATTGCATTTCTGCAGAAAATGTCAATGTTTTGAGGTAAAATATCATTTTAAACCATGTTTGAAGGTTCTGTGGTACCTCTCTGCTCCTTGATGATCCTCTGGGTGACTTTGTCAACGGAGCAGATTTTGTGACTGAAATCCTCAACGTACTCCTGCATGACGGTGAACTCGTCCAGCCGGCTCCTCACACCTCGCACAGAGTTAGCCACGGCTCTCATGGCCTCACCCATCCAACTCAGGAAGCCTGGACCTTGTTTCTTGTGAGACGCCAGCTCCTGCAACAAACCACAAGATAGCCAGCACTCAGAAAGTGCTAATGATCATTTTTTTAAACTTAGGTTATTTCAGAGGAATGAGCTAAAGGAGAACTGTCAGGGAATTTTTAGTCAAAGGTTATTGATATTTTTATTACTATGGCTGAAAACATTCTTCCACTCTGCCTTGAGAACAAGATGCCCAAAACAAGCTGAACCATTGCCCAAGACACTATCTTATTTCGGCCCATGAGCCATACGTTTGGGTAAACAGAGTGTGCTGTGTAAGAAGACTGCAGCTGGCTTCAAGGACACCTCCTGAACCCCATGAACTCAGCTGAGCTGAGAACGAGCAGTTCGTGTTTTTTTCTGTGGCTGATTTTCATGCATCTACATCTCTGTACACTGAAGTACCCTCTCCTGAAATCTGACCTTGCAAAAATAAATACTGGTTAAAAAGCTTCTCCTGCCATGGAGTGTGGTTCTTTTGGGCAAACAACATTAGTGAAATAAATTTTCTCCAACAATAACCCATCGTGTGTGGGTGTGAGGCACACCTGCGTAGTTAGAAAGATTTTAAAGAAGTGGCTGTACGAGAGGACGGGATGCTCGGAGATCCTGTTGAGGAAGTGATGCAGGGCTTTCCTCCTGGTTTCAATGAAGTCATCATTGAAGCGCTCCACCATGCCTTTCATTACAAACTTCTCTGGCAGAGGCTGAACACACAGAAAATAAATAAATAAATAAAAATAATAATAACTTTACACACAAGCAAATAAGAGTGATGATGGAATCAACTGTGAGACGTATCATCAGATGGAACAGCTCAGATAACATTTTACTGACAAAATAACAAATGTTATGACTATTTCCCCTGTCGATGAAGAATTTGAAGAGTGAACGGTCGTTGTTTTCAAGATGAGTGTTTTTCTGGACTGGAATTGAACAGGGAATGCAAATCAACTTTAATGTTTCTGATGCAAGATATTCAAGTTGGCAAGAGTTGCACTGTGGAGAATAACAGAGGTAGGTGTTTTTCATTGTGATCTGTGGTGAGAACAGGGAACAGGTGGAAGAGAGCTTGGAGAGGTGGAGGTATACACTTGAAAGAAGAGGAATGAACGTCAGCTGTAGTAAGACATAGTACATGGGTGTGAATGAGAGGGAGGCCGGTGGAACAGTGAGGCTACAAGGAGCAGAGGTCACAAAGGTGCAGGACTTCAAGTACTTGGGGTCCACTGTCCAGGAAAATGGGGAATGTGGTAAAGAAGTGAAAAAAAGAGTCCAGGCTGGATGGAGTTGATGGAGAAAAGTTTCAGGAGTGACTTGCAACAAAATAGTGTCAGCAAAGGTCAAAGGAAAAGTTTACAAGACAGTGGTGAGACCAGCTATGTTGTATGATCTGGACAAAAAGACAGGAGACAGAACTGGAAGTGGCAGAAATGAGGATGTTGAGGTTCTCCTTAGGAGTGACATGGATGGATAAGATCAGGAATGAGGTCATCAGAGGTACAGCACAGGTTGAACAACTGGGAGATAAAGTTAGAGAGGACACACTGAGATGGTTTGGACATGTCCAGAGGAGGGACTGTGGCTTGGACATGTCCAGAGGAGGGACAGTGCTTTGGACATGTCCAGAGGAGGGACAGTGCTTTGGACATGTTCAGAGGAGGGACTGAGTGTGTATTGGTAGAAGGATGTTAGAAATGCAGCTGCCAGGAAAAAGACAAAAGAGGAGAGATATACCGTAATTGCCGGTGTACGCTAGTTTTGTCTCACACTTTGTATTCTGCAGTTTATATGCAGGAGCATCTTGTTTATGTATTTTTTTCATTATTTTCAAAATTTATATTTTTATATTTTATGTTGAAAGACTTCCTGCCATGAACTAAAATTTTCCTTTGACAAGGCTGGGTGCTGGTGGCTCCCGGCACCCCGCCCCTCATGGGGGCAGACGTTTGTGACTCAGAGGCATGCCCTCAGGTATTCAGATGTACAACGACTCTTGCGCATGGTTTCAAATATCCAACCATAACTCCACCCACTCTGTCATCATGTGACCAGAAGTCTAACCTGAATGACCAACAAGGTACTCTCCAGGACCAACCCCCAAGATAGATGTGAATACATTTCTTCAGATTGTTCCTGTGTTGTTACCAGATATTGCGCTTCATGCACAGACCTGTTCATTTGTTCAGCAATAATGGAAAACGTACGGAGAATTTCTTAGCTTTCATGTTAAAGGCAATCGGCTGTCGAGGAGGAAGCAGAGCTGCTGCCTGTAGCTGCATCAATGTGTCGATGGTCAGGATTGGAGACGCAAAAGCAGTCAAGTCTGGTGCATGTTTTAATAAAAGTTTTTAAATTCTTTGTGTGACATCTTTCCGTGTCAGTAAATATGTGTTTAAATACCGGGATCTCATTTAAAGCTCACATACGAACGCATGAAACAGAGCAGAGGAGACAATGAACCAGAGGGGTTCTTCCCCCTCCCCTTCCGTCATGAGCTCACCGGTGGAGAAGTGAAGTCAGATTTACTTTTAAAGCAGTCAGTCAGTCAAGACTGATACATATTTAAATAAGTTTTAAAAAATCTTTCTGTGTACGGTAAATATGTGTTTAAATACCAATATGTCATTTAGGCTCTGCACAGAATGGAAGGGACAACAGGAGGGAGGGGGCTGTGCCCCCGTCCTTCCTCCTTCTCCTCATATGAGCTCTGCTGAGGAGAATCACGTCAAATTTATTGAGAAAGTACATTTAAAAACAACAGTTGTTAACAAAAGTGTTTACCAATAAAAATTAATGGTACTAATTTAATGAATATTTACTGCATTTTACCAGTATTATTTGACTTCAGGTCACGACCTTCATAAGACTTCTGGGCAAAATCATTTTTAAATACTTTCAGTTATGTAGATGTTTGACACTGTTCTGTCCAGTGATTATGCTTAGATAAGTTATTGTGTTCATTTTGAAGGTATAATGGTTGGAACCATGAGACGGACAGCGGAGCTTCATGATACTCCTGAGGTAATGAAGTCTGAGCATGTGTTGAAAGCAAGCTATGTTCTGTGAAACGCCACCTGCTGGCCGATTCTTGTACTACATAAAGAAAGAAGCACACTGTCAGAGCTGGCTGGGCACAGATCCCAACCATGAACGGTGGATGCCTGCGGCTAAATAACCGGAGTGTTTTATTCATGTACAAAATTTATCTTATATTTAATAATTACGGCTTAGAGACAGGTGCATTCTAAAGCCCGACACTTATGGTATATGGATGCATTTAGAGAGGACATAAGGGGTAGTTGAAGTGAGGACAGAGGATGCAGAGGACAGAGTGAGATGGAGGAGGATGACTCGCTGTGGATACCCCTGAGGAGGGAACAGCTGAAAGAAGAATAATTTACTACTAAATGGGAGCACAGGTTTCAGAGTTGACCAATGCAGTCCAATCACTTGAAACAATATTGAACCAGAGTCATAAAACCAAATGTGAACGGGCCTTCTGAGAATTAGAACAACAATCGCATTAGAGAGCAGTTTTATGGACCTATGTGTTTGCTTTCATAGCTCCAGAAGAACACTCATTAAATAACACTCAACCATCAGTCAGAGCAACATACAGGTGTCGGATGTCTACTCATCATGGACATGAACATGGTGGTATTTTGAGGCTTTAATCAATTTATTGGAAATGTTCTTTTTCCAGATTGCTGGACGTGGGCACCGGCAACCCCCGTGACCTAAGATGGAAGAAGCGGGTAAAAGATAATAGATGGATGGAGGGATGTTCTTTTTCTAGGAGGGAATGGTTACACAACACACAACTTCAATCATTTTTAAAATAAAAAACTGGATGGCAAAAATTGAACAAATGAAACTGAATCCAAAGAATAGTGAAACGTGTTGTGATGCATACATGGACAATCAGTGTTGGGTAGTTTTCTTCCAGTCTGCTTCTGAGCCACAGGAAGTCCTGGTAGCGTCGACAAACTTCATATTCACAAGAGTCAAATTCACTGCGTGTGGTCTAGAGAAAGGAAATCCACACAATTAGCTTAATGGTGTAGTTTTATAAAACATATTGTTAACACAAACTCAACTGCCCAGGCTTTTCACAAGCCAGAGATGAAATTTAAGTAAGTAAGAAACAAACACACAGAAACAGATTCAGAGTGGACAGATTTGAGTTTTCTAAAGCTAATGCTAATGTTGATCTTTGAAAAGAAGGCAGTCAGTGACAAATATACAACAGGCTGGTTTTTGGTCAATTTGTATTCTTAATTTAAAATATTATAATTAATTCTTAACCCTTCTTATGCCCTTGGGCCACAATGACCCATGAGGTCTCAGTTTTAACAAGCAGGAGGTCAGTGTCCCCCGTCGCTGAGGGACTTGAATACTGAATGGTTTTAGTTTTCGAGATGAGTGATGAATCCTGTTAAGTGGATGAGGCTCTAAAATCAAAAGTACTATTCTAATTATTTAGGAAGGTTATTTAATTGGTAGCCTAGAAAGTCCTTTTTTTATTCATTTACTTATTTGTAGTTAAAATAAAAATAATCAATAGGCACTTTGACTGGGTAGATCTTGCCAAAAGTGGGTGGACCTAAAGCCCCCAGTATACTGCCGCGTACGTACGTGCGAACGGACGTACGTACGCGTGTACTGTACGCAGAGGGTTCAGACTTCGTTCTCCAGCGTACACCTTGAGCAGCTGCAGAGCAGCTTCACAGACAAGGGGCATTTACTTTCGGGACAAACTGAGGTCGCCGATTGCTCATTTGCTGACAGGCCTATTGGATTGATTGACAGGTCGGGGAAAGAAAAAAAAAACGAGCACTGGCAGCCTCAGCCACAGTGGTGTTCTGTGCTTATATGTTGTTAATAAAAAGATTAAAAAAAATAAATAAAAAAAATGGAGCACTAGCTCTGCAGCCCACACATCAGACCAGCCCACCAGGAAATCTCCAGACCCTCCCGCAGACACGCTGGACCTGAGTTTAATTTGCTCGTGACAAATTCCTTCATTTCTCACCATTTCAGTCATGGCATCATCGGAGGAGGAAGAGATCACTTGCCTCTTGGCAAAAAAACAAAAGAAAAGGCCAGATCATGGATGAAGAAGGGGAATTTAATACATTGGTGTCGCATACAAAACTGTCCGTCGCTGGGCAGTTTATTGTGCGACACCGCGTACGCATTCGTAAAAATTGAGCTTTGCACGGACATGCCCTGGGGGGTACGCTCGTACCTCTGCATACATACGTGCGTACCTGTGCGTATGGGCGTACGCGGCAGTATACTGGGGGCTTAAGGCATGGTGGCCCCAAAAGCCATGCCCCATACTACAAATGAGGCATACAAATGAAGTTATCAAGCATCACCAATAAAGATCATGCTAATGAAGCTGTTCAAAGTATGCAAAAAAAAAAAAAACTACCTAAAGCTTTAAAAGTAACAGAAGAATGTCACAGATGAAAATGTGAAGGAAAAATCGGAAGCAAGGCAGCCTTCTCCACTTGTCAAGGTGACTGCTTTGACCTTGTTAGCTTTACTTTTCGACGTCAGACACATTGTTTCACCTTATCTAAATTGGACAGTTGTAGAAACTTTTAAACCAATCGCATTGTTTTCTCCACGGAAAAATCAGTCTGTTTGAAGCCAGCAGCTGTTCAAAATCTAGGAATTCTGGTGCATCGTAGAAACCCACATCTTCGGTTAGCGTTTATTGTTTTTAAATCGCTGGGTGGCAAATATTAATCTGAATATTTTTTAACTATATATATTGTTAGGAGTACAATATTCCATTCCTATTATTGTCAGAAAACGTTTTTTTTCATACTTGCTATTCTTAATTTCTGGTCTCCCTCATCCACACACATATCCAGAAGAAGGCATTGTTCCTTAATTCAGATAGGCATGAAGCTTAGCTTGAAGATGATAAAGTTGATGACAATGAACATCCAAGATCTCCCACCAGTGCAGGTGAATGGAGAAGGCAATGATGAGGATCCTATACTATTTGTTCCATCTGTTCTACACTTATGCAAATCTGGAAAACTGTCCAATCAAATTCCAAACTTTTCCATGCTTTTCAAAGCTGTTAAAGAATTATATTTACAGTGTTTTATGAATTTCATGTTAACCTAAAACTTAAACCTGCACATGACTACATTAATGTGTAAGTAAGTAGAAAGATTTCCTGGCTCACCTTGGTCACAACTCTGTACACGATGAAGGTCTCCAGGGCAGTGATGTGGCTCTCTGGGTTGTCGACAGAGATGAAGATGTCTTTAATGTCACCATCCTGCTGCTGCTCCTCTTCATTGTCCTCCAGTCTGTACTGGTTTATCATAGAACCAGGAGAGTTGGGCATGGGGCCTTCATCAGCCAGGGAGGTGTTCTGAATCAACACACAATGTTACAGTTAGCTCATGATGAGGCTCCTTCAACCAGTTCTGTCTCTTTCCAGATCAGTGTATCCACTACCATTATAAAAGCGGGGCGCCCTGCCCCGTCAACGGAACCAAGCTCCCTGTCTACCAACCCCAACCACCTGTCGGCACTGCCATAATGCTAAACTAGCGGCTTGCAATATGCAGGTGCACTAGCTAAAAAGCTAAAGACAGCCTCTTCCCTCATGCTAAACCCACACTGAACACCCCCCCCCCCCCCGACAAAAATCACAGATGCCCACTTATCTAGGGGAAACACTGCAGATTATACAAGTAGTATGCAGATGTTCCCCATCCCTGATGGATTTGAATAGTGAATGCTTGTAGTTTTCAATATGAATGTTTTTCGGGACTGGAATTGAACAGCGAATGCAAGTGTGTTAAACAACTCACAACATTTCGCCCTTTGAGCTCACCCAATTTTCAAGTGATCAAAACTATTAGAACATGTGACTGACAGGTGTTTCTTGTAGTGCAGGTGTTGCCTTTTAGGTTGATTATTCAAAAATTAAATGGCTCTGTAAGACCAGTCTAAGTTTTTAGACTGGGTTTAAACTTATAAAGACTGTATTTCTTGTAAAAAAAAAAAAATGGATAAACCAACAGGAAGACCAGAGAGCTGTATATGGGAGAAAAGTAAAGCATTTTGAACCTGAGAAAAGAAGAAAAATCAATCGGAGTCATTGGACAAACATTGGGCATAGCAAGCACAACAACTCAGAATGTCTTGAAAAAGAAAAAAAAAACTACTGGTGTACTGAGCAACAGACACCAAACAAGTCAGCCAAGTAAAACAACAGTAGTTGACAACAGAAATATTGAGAAAGCTGTGAAGAAACCACCAAAAACATCAGTAACTTATAACACCAACGACTTCCAGAGTGCAGGGGTGAATGTATCACAATCCACTATTCGAAGACTCGAAAAACAGTAATATTGAGGCCATTCCACAAAATGCAAACCACTCATTATCAGTGAAAATCAGAAGGCAAGATTGGAATTTGCAAAGAAGTACAGAGATCCCTTCATTTATTCATCCATTTTCTTATGTTTGTTCCGAAGCCAGGTCACGGGGGCAGCAGCTTGAGCAGGGAGGCCCACACATCTCTTTCCACAGCCACCTCTTCCAACTCTTCTGGGAGGACCCCAAGACATTCCCTGGTGAACCGAGAGACAGTATCTTCAGCATGTCCTGGGTCTTCCACGGGATTTCCTTCCAGTCGGACATACCCGAAGCACCTCCCTAGGGAGGCACCCAGGAATAATTCTTGCCAGATACCTGAACCACCTCAACTGGCTCCTTTCGATGTGGAGGAGCAGCGGTTCTACTTCGTGTTTCTCCCGAATAACTGAATTTCTCACCCTATCTTTAAGGGAGAGAGTCCAGCTACCCTGCAGAGGAAAATCATTTCAATCACCTGTATCCACAATCTCATTGTTAGTCACTACTCAAAAGCTCGTGGCCATAGGTGAGGGTAGGAAGATAGGCTGATGGGTAAACAGAGAGGTTTGTCTTACAGCTCAGCTTCCTCTTCACCACAATGGACCAGTACAGAGTTTGCAATACTGCAGACGCTGCATCAATCTGTCTGTCAATCTCACGCTCCATTCTTCACTTAGTCACCCCAAGATACTTGAACTCTTCCACTAGAGGCATATCCTCACCCTCGAACCAAAGAGAGCAATCCACCCTTTCCTGACTGAGGACCATGGCCTCAGATTTGGAGGTGCTGATCTCATCCTAGCCGCTTCACACTAGAACACACACTTCACTGTGAACCACTTCAGTAAGAGCTGGAGATCACGGCACAAGGACGCTAACAGGACCACATCATCTGCAAAAAGCAGACAGAATCCTAAGGCCACCAAACCGGACTCCCTCTGTCCCATGACTGCATCAAGAAATTCTGTCCACAAAAGTTAGGAACAGAATTGGTGACATCTAGCAACCCTGGTGGAGCCCAACTCCCACCCTGAAGGAGCTGATTTATTACAGGAAATGCGAATCAAACTCTCGCACTGCTTGTATAGGGACTGAACAGCCCGTTGCAATGGGCCCCCAATCCCATACTCGGAGCACCCCTCACAGTGTACCCCAAGGAACACAGTAGAATGCCTTCTCCAAGTCCACAAAGCACATAGACTGGATGGGCAAATATCACAAAACACTCGTCTGCCACGTCAGCTAAAATTATGTTTTTTCAGCAGACCGAGTCCGGTAAAATCCCTCGTTTTCAGCCAGAGCCCGTTTTTAATATCTGCTGTTTTCTGCCCACTCACAGCACAGCGGGAGTAAACATATTTTCTCCACCACAGCTGCAGCCTCCACCGAAACGGTGTCTCACTCAGAAAGCGCTCACGCTTGTCTCAGTGCGCGCCGGCTCACCTCAGCTCTATGTGAGACCGCAGCCTGGGCTCAGCACAAAGGCACACATACAGCCCTTTTTTCTATCGGAGCCCTCCTCGGGTTCCCCCCGGAGAATCTCCAGAGTGAGTGATGGCAGTAAGGATTTTTAGTCTGGTTGACGGTCATGAGAAACATGACAACACAAATGCATGCCCACTCTCTGAGCATTACTCAGAGTGGCAGCGCATGTGTTCCCTGGACAGATGGACGGACCATCTGATCAGAAGGGGTTACACGCTGCAGTTCGCAGCTCAACCCCCACCTTTCAGAGGGATTATAGAGACGGTTCTGTCTTCCCCAGAACAGAGCTCATCTCTCCAGTCAGAAGTTCAGGAATTTCTGACGAAAAAAAAACTGATTTCCAGAGTTCCCAACAGAGAGGAAAATACGGGTTGTTTTCCTCCCACTACTTCCTGGTTCTGAGAAAAAAAAATGGAGGGATGAGACCATTCTCGACCTGTTCATGTTCAGCAATTCGATCATGGGGAGACAATTCCACATGCTGACAAACAGCTACTGGAGGACTTCGTCCCCACTAAATCAGGAGCCAGGCAGAAGGAGAAATCCTACACAAGACAAGCTCTAGAGTAATGTGGATATCCTAACTGGGCCTTCCTGAAAGCAGAGAAGAAACCCAAACAGGACTCCAGTCAGCCAACAGGTGAAAAGGAGGAACCCAGACCCAGACCAGTGGTCATTCCGTATGTTGAGGGAGTATCAGAGAAACTGAGACATTTATTTTCTAAACATAACGTCCCAGTGGCTTTTAAACCCCAAAATACATTACGGCAAAGACTGGTTCATCCCAAAGATCCAGTCCCCCGACGCAAACAGAGTAATATTGTGTATGCTGTTCATTGTCAGGAGGGCTGTGATCAGTCTTACATCGGGGAAACTAAACAGCCACTGGCCAAAAGGATGGCCCAGCACAGAAGATCAACACTATCAGGCCAGGATTCTACGGTCTACACTCATCTCCAGGCCAGCGGTCACTCTTTCAGGGATGAAGATGTTCACATCCTGGACAGAGAGGAACGATGGCTTGAGAGAGGAGTAAAGGAGGCCATCTTTGTAAAAAGAAATCGTCCATCATTAAACAGGGGTGGAGGCCTCCGGGTTCAACTGTCCCTCTCTTACAATGCTGTTATTGCTAGTATCACTCAGCCTCCTGTGAATCAGTGTGCTAATGATCCATTGTTAGGCTGATGGTCCTTCTTGACCATGTGAGCAGCTGATTTTGGTTGTCAGCAGCAAACTGGTTGATCCACTCTGAGAAGGTGCTATTTAAGAGACTAAGCTGAATACAGCAACTCAGACTGAGGAAGTCTCTTGGATGAGAGACGAAACATTTCTACATTTTTTTTTTTTTTTTTTTTTGAATGTCCAGAGGACCAGAATGAACTTTTTTAGACAATTTAAAAGTGTTAATTTACTTGATGAGGAGGAGGCAGGTCTGACTGGCCAGTTTAAGAGGTAAAAAAAAGTCACGTTAAGCTCAGATGGACAGCTGTCACCGGCCGTGCGCATGAGCGGCCGGTGACAGCTGACCTGCCAGTTGAAATGGATTTGCGATCTGTCCAGGATTTCCCCCATCTCTTGCACAGTGATGGCTGGACAAGTGCACCAGTGATCCCGCTACCCGAAAAGGAAGAAGTGGGTAAATATATGGATGGATGGGTCAGTTGCACGCGTGCGTCTCTGCACCTCCTGTCATCTGCGATGAAGGAAGTAGCAGCTCATAAAAGCCGAAGCGAAAAAGAAAAATACATTAAAAAAAATAATAATAATAATAAATAAATAAAATCCGAAGCGAGCAGCAAGCTCATTTAAAATTGCCTTGTTCTATATTTTTCCAAATGATTTTGCTTAAACAAAAACAAAAAACATCTCATTACTTATCAGATCCTGCACATTTCTGTCCAAATCACAGAGATGCCTATTCACATTGGATTAGTATTATCACAGGGCCTCGGAGTTTAGCCAAATATAGTAGGTAATTTGCCGGGGAATTTTCACTTTACAAATTACTGACATGGCCAACTCGCACGGGATTAACAACACAGACAATCTCCAAAATTATTACAAATAGCATGTGGTCCCTAGGTAAAACTAATCCCATGCGAATAGGGCTAAAGTCAGAGAGGATTTTGTTGATGAAGCAGGGGATCATGATTTGTTTTAGAAGAGGAAGAGAGAACCGAGCCCCACTGACTGCAAAGGAGGGGGTCCAGAACCTCTCAGACAGGACCAACAGAACCAAGCATCAGTTCTGAGCTCTGGAGAACAGCTGGTGTATGTGGATGCTGACCCAGAGGACAGACTAATGGAGGAAAATACCCTTTTTAATTACCATAAAATAAATATTTTGTCAATTCAAAAAACAGTAATGTAGAGTTTAAAAAAAACCTTAAAGTGCTAAAATAAAAATTAAATTAGATATTTTTTATTTCAGGCTGAGACCGCTCTGAAAGACTGACTAGTTTTTTGGGGGGTAAAAATATTTAAAGTTAAAGGGAAATACTAAAATAAATATATTGTCCCTACTTCATGGATTTTCATCAATCGTGGGGGTGTCTGGAATGTAACCCCGTGATAAGTAGTGATGGGTTTGACGACACTGAAACATCGGTGCATGCGCCGAGCAAACAAGGCGAAGCCCCGTGTCTGTGCACGTATCTCTAAGGAAAACCACGTGACCGATACAGTTACTGTATCGTTTGGTTGTGAACGTGCCAAATTGTATTTATAAGGGAGAAAATGTATCGACACATTTGTGGGTTTTGTTGGATGGAAATAGTTTGTGTTCTTTGCTTTGCATTGGTTTTTGGTTTGTCATCGAATACCATGGATCAACCAAGGAAGAGGAAGTTTTTCTCCCGTGTGGGATCATTTTAATCTTATCACGGAAAAGATGGTAAATGATTATTATGCTCTTGTTTCCACTATTGATCTTTTTTCTTTCGAGTTATTCTAATTTCTTTCTGAAGGATATTTGAATTAGTTTACATGGATTAACTTTTATTTCTGTTGTAGGTGAAATGTAGGATTTGCTCCCAGGTGCGGTCTTATTGTGGTACAAAGATGCATCTCCGAGGAGAACACACCAAGATCACAGGACTTACTACAATACTGGAAAACGCAAATATTAAATTACCCTACCTTATACAAACTTGCAATGAAATTTCTGTGTACGCCGTCATCATCAGTGCCCCGTGAAAAGGTGCTCTCAAAAGCAGGAGAAATGGTTTGTAAACGACGCAATCACCTCGACCCAAAGATGTTACAGCAGCTGAGGTTTCTAAATAAAAACGTGCAAATGAACCTTGTTCAGTCTGTTTCCAGTCTTTATTGAATTTGCCTACAATGACATATGCTGGTGAAGATTCTCAGTCATCCAGGACATGGCAAAAACAACTGGACTTTATTTGTAACAGAAGACGTCCTCATCCGAGGAGCGAAACGTCTTCTGTTACAAATAAAGTCCCAGGTGTTTTTGCCTTGAACGTATTTGGATTTGCCAGCAGTGACTTTTTAAATCCAGCAGATGTCACCATTAAGTGATACAGCAACACAGCTCCAACACAGAGTGTCCACACAGTTTGGGAAATGTGCCATACACCCAATGAGGCCTCATCTGCCCATCACTAGTGATAAGTGAGGGACTACTGTATATGGAGCCAGTCAACTTGGATTTTGATGTAGCAACTTAATGCAGCCCCACGCCAAAATGGAAGTTGGTGCCTCACTTACTTTTCAAGTTACCATGCGCGCAACGAGGACAGGACGGACAGATGGAAGGACAGATGGACGGACAGATGGAAGGACAGA